ATTTTTACAAAAGTAGGTTGAAACGGTGTTAACTAAGGGAGGAAGGAGGAGAACTGATATTTGGATATTGCTATTATTTTTTTGTTTCAATAGAACATGCAAGCACAATATTTGGAGAATGTACAGTTATTTTTATTACAACAACAGTTTATAGTAACCACGGCAGTTAAGTCACTTTTTAACCTCTCATGTAATCTCTGTATAGGACTGTGAGCACTCAGAATGGGACACGCCCACTGCTCTCTGTCCAGCCCAGTCGAGGGCTGGTAGATGAGAAGTTTCAGATTGTTGTGACAAACTAAAACAAGAGGTGACGCTACACTCTCTGCATCAGTCAGAAGACAATGACTTCTGGGAGGCATTTGGACAGTACATCAGTGATGAACACGGGACAGTGACAGGTGCATAGTACAGTCTGATGCATGACCTCTACAAAAATTACAACCTGATACATTGTTGTGAAGGAAAACCAAGCTTCTGCTCATTCTGGATCATCTCTAGAGGTTAAGTTGCACTTTAGTATTGTAGGCAGTGGTCATCTGATGGGTTGGCAGAGATTACAAGGTGCTCAATCTTCAAAACGTTGAGCTCGAGATTACTCACCATCATCTAAGTCAAGATGTCAGAAGCAAAAAAAAAAGGCTACGGTCATGATTTGGGTACATCATCTAGGTTCTAAAGAGCTTCGCCAAGCTGGTCTTTCAGCCCTAACCAGGCTGACCACCAACCAACTGATTGGACCATCTAATGTCCATAACTTACATACAATAAATGACCTTAGGTTAGTAACTATGTAAGGCTCTATGTAAGTTAGTAACTATGTAAAACCTTTTCATAGGTTCACCTGATGCTACGTCAGTAGCTGACATTACCCAGGTGTGACAGTTTTCTGAAGAATGTATAGAAACCATAGGTTTTCCCCCAGACCAGAGCCAATCATGATTTCGTCTGGGAGACGTTTTCTGTAAGCAACTTACAGAAAACTTACAACTTACAAAAAGCAAATAGTCACAGAGCTGACAATATTTATATAATGCCACATTTGCTAACTAAAAACATTTTAAATAGTTTCATTTTATGTTAATTTAATGCTAACTGCTAGAAAATAACACCAGTTGTGTGAAATGTAGTAAATGTTTCAAACTCTAGGCCCAGAGTGGCTAATTGGGAGACTCCGCAGTGGGCTGTTCTGTTTATTATAAGCACACACTGAAGTTATGCTGTCGTTCTCGTTCCCAGCATGCTTTGCAGAGGACTAGATAAGGAGAATAAATGTTGAAATGAAGTGTTATTATATGTGTTCTTTACTGAAAGGAAAGACCTGCTAGTGTTTAAAGCTGTTATGTTTGACATTTAAGAGTTTCTGTTGTTTGAGTTTTTGTTGTTAACATTATGCTGAAGAGTAGACCACATGAAGGTAAACACTACATTAATTCTATGAGCAATGACTGTCCTAATACCAGTGACAAGTAA